GTGGTATAGTGTTTGTATAATCAGTGCAGCTAAACTTTTTAGAACATTTAAAATATTTTTCTTATATCCTAACATTTTGCTAAACATAATTAAGCTACAGTGGTCCTGAGCTAGAAAATAAGGAGGAAATACTAGATACAAGAAAAGTCTATCCCTCCTCCCCCCACCCCCGAATATGAGACCAAATACACTGTGTACTATTTTGTAAAAGACAAAACCAACAGATTTCAGTTAACGTAATAATGACATCTCCCCGCTTTCTCATCTCAGGATACCAAAACTGCTGTATATGACTTGAAATATGCTGTCATGATGCGTTTGGACCAAAAGTATAACTTCCACAACAACAGTACAAAAGGAGAATGTTTAGCAAACAGAGTAGAGCAAGTTCAGTTTTCTTGACTTCTAAGTTCTTACAATACAACAAGCAGTAGCATCAGCAGCAGAGAGCTGGACCTTGCCTGTCATTGTCCTACCTTCCCACCATTATCAATAGGACCTAGAACTGGTTCTAAGCACTACACCCAGTCAGGCACACATGGCCCCATAATCCTCTGCTAACCCCAGCCTTCCAGGCATGGAATTTCAAAGTCCACTGCTGCTGCAGAGGCCTTCACAATCTTCCGCAGCACAAGCTGCCTTTGACACACTTAGCCCTTCAGCTGTCACAGCTTGCAGTCCTTCCATCTCTGAACTGTGGCACTGTAGTTGTGGCAACCCTAGTTAGTCTAAGCCAGTAGTCCCAACCTTTCTGTGGGAATAGCACATTTCTATTCTCAGAAGACCGTGGCGGGCGCCAGACACTTCACTGCCGAAATGCTGCCAAGAAGCGGCAGCAGAAAGAAGCAGCACCGCCAAAATGCCGCTGAGAAACGGCAACGCTTCTCGGCGGCATTTCGGCGGGCGGTTCTCCGGCAGCCGAGCTCAGTGGCAGCATTTCGGCAGCGCGGTGTCCTGCGGGCGCACACAGCTGCCCCAGTGGGCACCACGTTGGGGACCCCGGTCTAAGCGATAATTAAGTACCTTAATGTGCTGATTTGGCCTGTTAATTCCCTTTTAGCCTGTCCCTCTATCTGGTTGTGTGCCTTATTTGCACCATATCTGTATGATCTCTCCCATGATGCTGACTGGATTCACTCTGGCTTCAGCAGCTCTGCGCTTTTCCTGTCCTTATTTCCTGTCTTTTCAGAGCTCTCGCCTCTCCTCTTCACCATTCCATCTCTACTTCCCTGCACCTCTGGTCAGTTTCCCATGTGCAGTTTGTAATAAAACCATATTCCACCTCTGGATTCTCTTTCTGCCTCCATGCATGTGCCAACCTTGCTCCAACTCAGGCTCTAGTCCCATTTTTACCCTCTGCAGAACCTTTTCTTACCGCAACTTCTATTCCTCATAGCCTTTATAAACCAGTCTAATTCTTACATCCCCACTCCCTTCTTCCTGTCTCCCATTCCCTCTACAATACCCTGTCCATCTCAAATGAATACACCACCACTCATGGTCTCTTTATCTTTTATCCCGTTATTTCTTTGCATTCATTGAAACCTGGTTCCCCCCTTCTCACACTACTTCTACACGTATAGAATCATAGAATATCAGGGTTGGAAGGGACCTCAGGAGGTCATCTAGTCCAACCCCCTGCTCAAAGTAGGACCAATCCCCAATTTTTGGCCCAGATCCCTAAATGGCCCCCTCAAGGATGGAACTCACAACCCTGGGTTTAGCAGGCCAATGCTCAAACCACTGAGCTATCCCTCCCCCCACCTAGGAGGGGAGGGATGACTCCTCCTCCTCCTCCCACCTAGGAGGTCATGGTGGTATTTGGGCTCCTACTCTCCAGCTCCTACTGTCACCTGGTCTTCCCTTGTTCTGTTGGAGGACCTCAGCTATGGATGGTGAAGCTGTCTCTGCCTTTAATTGAAGGGCTAGAGGCTTTTAGTCTAACCAAGATGGAGTTTCTCCTAAGCATTTCTCAGGCATCTGAGTCAAATAGCTGTTAACAAAAACAGTTTTAGATGCGGTGTGGAAGGGCAAGTGATGTTTATATAGCATCATTTAGGAAAAAATCGGGTAAATAAGACCTGAAGTTTTAAGAGATCCATTTAAGCAGACAGAGAGGAGGGGAAGAGGACTAAAAAAGTTCAAGCCTTTTTATATCCTAGAAGAACAAAAAAAAGGGGCACCTCCAATTGGTCACCTTTAATTTAAACTAACCGTACAATAGAACGTTGCCAGTCCATACATGGCTAATTTTCACACACAATAAGAACGCTTTCTCCCAGCTTCTTAGTACAGATTAATAGCAGAGTTAATGTGTTAGGTGTCATATTCCCAAGGCTACTGCTTTTTTACAAAATACACTGGACTTCTCCATTGGGGGGGGAGGGATAGCTCAGTGGTTTGAACATTGGCCTGCTAAACCCAGGGTTGTGAACAAAAATTGGGGATTGGTCCTGCTTTGAGCAGGGGGTTGGACTAGATGACCTCCTGAGGTCCCTTCCAACCCTGATATTCTATGATTTTCTATGATTTACTGGAACATTCAGAAGTAGTACAAAGCATCTTTTTGGAAGTATTAGCATTGCTTTTGCGTTGTTCACTAACCTGCTAATTTGCAAAGTTCTGCAGACACAATGTTCCTACCATCCCCCATATGCACACAAGTAAGATTTTGCTGTAACTAACTTATCCTTTTAGTTTCTTGTAGGCATTCTTTGATCTAGTACAATTACATAGCCCCCTATTATTATTTATTACTATTAGGGTAGCATTTAATGGCCTCAATAAAGGATTGAGGCCTCATTTTGCTAGGCAGTAGACAAAGACAGTCCCTGCTACAAAAAGTTTTCTGTACAAGTGTGGCATTTCATTGACTTCAGTGGAACCACAATGGGTTTTGCTGCGTTGGGACCAATAAAGATAATTTCTATGAGTCAGGGACTGTCTTTTTGTTCTGTTTGTATAGCACCTAGCACAGTGGGATCCTGAGCCGTGGCTGGGGGTCCTACGTGCTGTGATAATACCAAGAATAAATGTAATAGACAATAAACAAGGGAATGTCGAGGTGATATTTATGGACATGTCCTGTTAGCTATTTGCCTTTTTACTAATGTTAGTTTTAAATCTTGTTTATGTACTATGTTTTAGTTTGTCTCCTGTCTTGACGTGCTGTTATCTGCTGTAACTAGAGAACAGAAAATGTTTTAATTCACATGAAAGTGACATTTAGATGTTACATTGATACAGGGAGGATAATTAATCAGTTTTTACATCTGTGTATTCACCCATTTTCTGAAGTGTGGGATAGAAATCTGAATGGAACCGATGGATGTACAGATTAATTTTGGATGCTTTCCCAGAGTAACAGAATGGTGGGCGTTCCAGTTCAAACCCTCTGGAGTCAGCTCCAATTCTGCCAGAGGTAACACTGGAGAAGGGTGAAGTCAATTGCCAAAGCTAATGAAGCCAGGATCATTTTTGTCTGTCTCCCCAGAACTGGACCAAGAATGGAAGACCTTTAGTTTTTGTTTCTCCTTTGGTATGTATGTGGTGCCTTTCAGCTCACAATAAACATTTTTTTGCCAGTGGAGATTTTGTAAAAACTGTGCGGTACAAATATTTGGCTTGATGCTCCTAAATACCGTCATCTTTAACCAAAGCCACCAGAACCTAGCCACATTTGATTATTTTGAAGATGTTAGTAGATTAAACTACTAATGAGAATTGTTTAGTGAGACAGTATTTTTAAAGACGTGTGGTCTTATTAGTCACATTTTAGTCCTTCTCACCTTCTCCATCATTGTACTATGTTTCTTCCTACAAACCTTCCTCATTTTAACTACCTTTTTGGATCCCCACCCAATCTACTTTATCTAGAAGTAACAAGAAATGCTGTTTTCCAAAAAAAATGAATTTCTAAGATTTATGACTCCCTATAAAACGTTGAGCAATGCTGCACCTTCAAACAGTGCTCAGCAAATAACTTTGAGGACTTTTTCTTCACGGACGAATGAAAAGTTTTCTTCAAACTCTCTGGTGGCATCAAAATGTTAAGTATAATAAGCAAAAGCTGGTGCTCATATTGGCTGACTTTTCTACCCATGACTTGGCAGTGTATATTTCTGTCCAGATGACTTTCTTGCATTCCAGATGTTATCCCTTTGGAAGATTAGCTTACACTGTGGTTTAGATGAGCCCCCATATACTACTTGCTATGATTACCAAAATGTCTGTGTGTTACTCCATCAGAAACGCTCTCTGAGAATCAGTTCTGCCAACTGAAGGATAATTTTAATCCATCATCATTGTAAAATAGACTGGTCTCTATTGTGAAGTAGATAATGATTAGAAATTACACAGTTGACATTTTAACTCTGCGCTTTGAAATTTCAGATATTTTAAAAAATGCTAGATTTTCTATTTGAAGAAATGGATTGCAGACTTGTAAATGAATTGGAATATTGTGTAGGTCTTATTGTACACCGATGCATAGAACAAAGAGATCCTTATTTGAAAAATTTCTCAAGACAAAGTCTACATATGAGATATTCATCGCATTCCCCTTTTGCTTGCAGATGTGACATTTTAAAAACTTGATTATGCACAAGACCCCTCATCCTAAATACCTTTGATTAAAAGAAAGCTGGGAAACCTACTACAAGTGCTTTATTCTACATGTATTTTTATGCAAGTACAAAAATCCTCTTCAGAAACCTTTTTTTAGGAAAATGAGAAAACTCTGATTATATCTCCCTTTTCAGACATAGATTGCAATTATGTACAAAGCCAGATAGTAAAGAAGAGTTCTTCATTGGAGCCGCTTTGTCTTTTATTCTTTGAAATAAGCCTTTACATTGCTTGGAGAGCCAAAGATTTAGCTCTCAATCTTTTTAAATATTTTTTTTGTTGCTTTGTGAATGAAAGTTTCAACTTTTAATTCGCTGCTGCTTTCATAAAATGAAGTTGCTTAAATAACCTCTCTTTATTTTTGGATGTTTCAGGTGCAGTGGCAAGCACAGAAGTAAAAATGAAATTACAAGAGTTTGTCTTAAATAAAAAGAAAGCTTTGGCACACCGGAATCTCAACCATTGCATTTCCAATGATCCCCGCTTCTGGTATGGGTAAGTGGTACTGGACTTATCACGATTCAGCCAGCGTCTCCTTTGTTCACAACTGCTGGAGGGCTGGGGGAAAGGGGCTAATGCATTTAATGGATGAACAGTATGTTACAAATAAGGGTGTTGCAAAATTAATTAGTTAAATTGTAACGTAACTAGATCAAAATTTGTTATGGGTGTGACAGGAATGATCTGATAGTCCATTAATGATATTCTTAATTAGCATGTGGATGAAGATCCTTTCCCTATAACAGTTAAATTCAAGCACTGTTGTGTTTAATGATACAAGGATGAGGTCTCTAATGTAAGGGTCTATAATGATGTTTCCACTATCAGAGGACTTTGATATTCTTTTCTTTAATCTATGATCACTCAAAGTGGATTGTTCTGTGTAGTTATACTTACAGAACAATCTCTACTGGGCATCTAAAATTCTTTAATTCAGCATATGATACTAGAAAATCAGGACTCTAGTATAATGGGAAGATTACTGTTGCATTTCACTGGATTGTCACTCAAGTTATTTTAAATGTATTTTAAAATGTTTAAAGTTTACTCCTCACATTGCACTCTGACACTACCGGTATGTATCCAATCAAAAATTAAAGGATTTGGCCCTTAAAATTAAACTATTAAAAATACCAAATGCACCTTATTTACATCTCCAATCAGACAAAAGCCTGAAGAAACTGTGGCCTGAAAGTCAACTGAGTCTGGTGGTGGTGGACCAAATGTGGAAAAGAATTCTGGAGCTGAAGGCCCTGTCCTGAAAATGCCTCACTGTTGGCCTTTGGGCATTCAAAACAGGCACTGTGAGCAAGGTTGTGCCAGCAGACCTCAACTGCCACAGTGGCACACACAAAAGAAAGAGGTTTCTCAAGGAGATATAACCCAACCTGTATTTAGCAGTGATTGATATTTATTATTTTTATTTTTTTATAAGGAAACAGACAGTGAAAAGTACAAAATGGTAAATGACTTACAGCTTGTATTGGGAGGGCTGGAGGCATAGCTATTTTCTTCCCAATATCCCATTCTTTGTATATGAAAGTATTATTAGGATGCTACTAACGAGAGAAGATGCTTTATTGTGGTGGGTGTGAGCTGCTTAGATACACTCTTAAATATTTCCCATATGCTAGTGACCTGAACATTGTTCTTCCAACAGTTACTCAGCACCGCTTCTCTGAAAGGAGGAGGGGAAACCACTTCCATGTGCTTTCCAGCAATCTGACCAGAGTTCACAGTAAAATGTTAAAATAAATCATACAAGTACCTTTCAGTCAGCAGTACCACAGGCTGCTGGCATATCTGAAAGAATTAGCTTGGACACATGAATATTAGCCATTGCTGGGAGAAAATCCTTGCTGGAGAAATTTAGAGGGGAAAAGGGGCATTAGTGATACCATAAATGTCAGGAAAAGGTTTCTTAAGCAATCACCTTATCACCAGTTTTTCAAAAGATGCTGGCATTCTGCCCTCATTTCAGGACGGATGTTGGTGAGTGAAACTAGTTAAAACTCTGAGATGGCTTTGTCCCTCCAGACATAGATGCGTCCCTGTGGATTTGGCTATTCCAGTCTGTTTATTCTTATCCAAAATGAAGATAATAAATTCACCACAGTGAGAAATATTAGACCCAGTTTCCAGGTGATGATAGGCAAACTTCAGTGTTCCTGCACCTACAACATTTCCGCTGACTGAGACTTCCTAGACAATATTGCGAAAGAGGAGAAAACTAAAGATACCATTCTCATTCATCCTCCCAGTTTGCAACAGAATGGAATTGACCTAGCTCAAAGCTTTTTCACCCTGAGGTAGTAGTAACTCAGCTAGAAATACTGCCTGACCCCATTTACTGGTTGCACACCACCAATTTACCATTAGCTCAGTCTCTCAGAATAAACTTGTGTGTGCGTGTGTACAGGGGACTGTCCGGAGTCAGGGCTGAAGGGGAAGCTTGTGTGTGTGGGAGGGGGACCAGTATCAGTACAGGTGAGTGTAGACATCAGGGGTTGGGAAAAACTGACCAATATGCTCTGGCTGCTTTGTGCTGCTCCAGAGCTGCATACAGCAGCTAGAGTGTACTGTTTAATCTGGCCTTAAAAGTTCATTTATTAAAACTAAGATTGGTATTACATATATTGTGTCTGTGTGTGTGTATATGTGTATACACGTATGTCTGTGTGTATATATAAAAATAAAAACCAGCACTCTTAATTGATTTAAAGATCAAAGTCTTAAATCTAGTCTAAATTGTTACATCAAAGGGCCATGGTAATGCAGCATGTTAGTTAACAAGTGTTTTTGTCCTTTGATACAGCAAATGCTGACAACTCAGTGAATTCTTCAAACCATTCTGAAGTACAGAACACAGATAGTCTGGTTAAATACATTGTGATGTTTTAAATTTCTGAAATTGCAAATCCTCTTTTTGATCCTCTTTGCTAGTCCAGCTGTTGCCAGCAGATAGACAGTGCGCGCACACATTTTGGTGATTTCATCCCATTACCTATGTAAGGGCCTTCCCAACTCAGAGTTCATAGAATCATAGAATCATAGAATATCAGGGTTGGAAGGGACCCCAGAAGGTCATCTAGTCCAACCCCCTGCTCGAAGCAGGACCAATTCCCAGTTAAATCATCCCAGCCAGGGCTTTGTCAAGCCTGATCTTAAAAACCTCTAAGGAAGGAGATTCTACCACCTCCCTAGGTAACGCATTCCAGTGTTTCACCACCCTCTTAGTGAAAAAGTTTTTCCTAATATCCAATCTAAACCTCGCCCACTGCAACTTGAGACCATTACTCCTCGTTCTGTCATCTGCTACCATTGAGAACAGTCTAGAGCCATCCTCTTTGGAACCCCCTTTCAGGTAGTTGAAAGTAGCTATCAAATCCCCCCTCATTCTTCTCTTCTGCAGGCTAAACAATCCCAGCTCCCTCAGCCTCTCCTCATAAGTCATGTGTTCCAGACCCCTAATCATTTTTGTTGCCCTTCGCTGGACTCTCTCCAATTTATCCACATCCTTCTTGTAGTGTGGGGCCCAAAACTGGACACAGTACTCCAGATGAGGCCTCACCAATGTCGAATAGAGGGGAACGATCACGTCCCTCGATCTGCTCGCTATGCCCCTACTTATACATCCCAAAATGCCATTGGCCTTCTTGGCAACAAGGGCACACTGCTGACTCATATCCAGCTTCTCGTCCACTGTCACCCCTAGGTCCTTTTCCGCAGAACTGCTGCCTAGCCATTCGGTCCCTAGTCTGTAGCTGTGCATTGGGTTCTTCCGTCCTAAGTGCAGGACCCTGCACTTATCCTTATTGAACCTCATCAGATTTCTTTTGGCCCAATCCTCCAATTTGTCTAGGTCCTTCTGTATCCTATCCCTCCCCTCCAGCGTATCTACCACTCCTCCCAGTTTAGTATCATCCGCAAATTTGCTGAGAGTGCAATCCACACCATCCTCCAGATCATTTATGAAGATATTGAACAAAACCGGCCCCAGGACCGACCCTTGGGGCACTCCACTTGATACCGGCTGCCAACTAGACATGGAGCCATTGATCACTACCCGTTGAGCCCGACAATCTAGCCAGCTTTCTACCCACCTTATAGTGCATTCATCCAGCCCATACTTCCTTAACTTGCTGACAAGAATACTGTGGGAGACCGTGTCAAAAGCTTTGCTAAAGTCAAGAAACAATACATCCACTGCTTTCCCTTCATCCACAGACCCAGTAATCTCATCATAAAAGGCAATTAGATTAGTCAGGCATGACCTTCCCTTGGTGAATCCTCTCTGCAGCAAGTGGAGAGATCGTACTTTACCCTGCTGACGTAGGGGACTAAAGGGGGGAAGGAAAGGGTGGAGGCCCCAGAAAACCTTATAGGACTGAGATCCCAAATTTTGTGGCCATCCCCATTTGTATCCTCCACAGAGTTACCAACAGTCAGAGGTTGACACTGGGACACCCACACCAGACTTTTCAGGCCACTGCCAGGTATCCTGCCCGTCGTGGGGATCATGAAAAGGAAATGGGGGACAATACGACATCAGCCTGAGAGATCTCAACAGCTAGGGCATCTGGGCAAGACAAGGCAGAAGCCCCTCCCATTGGGATCAGAATCCATTTAATTTAGGACAATTAAAGACTGTGTTATAAAATGTCAGACTGTAAATATACAGTGTATGATTCAATACATTCACAAGAGCAAGTAAACCAAAAATAATAATGCCCCCCCCCCCCTCCACACACATACACTTTTAATTAACCAGTAATTTTGAACCAGCCTTCCAGATCCTGGGATTCCAGAACTCCTCTCAAGTCTAATACCCAATTATGTTCATGTGACAGGAAAATACTTAGTCATTTACAAAATGGCTAAAGTGCACTCCTTTAACTTACTCCATCTGTAAGCTGCAAAAAACATACCTTTATAGCTCTTTGATATGATATTGAATACTAGAGATGAGCACAAGGTCAGTCTTGTTAATCAGAATCAGTTTATAAATTCTGTTATAAATCCATTACAAGATTTAACTAATATGTGGTACAGTGGTTGTTTATCAGTTAGTGAAGGATGACTGGGACTACCTAGGGGGATGATCATTTAATACAGCTAGTCAGGAAAAGTTAAATATTTTCTGCAATCTTTTTTCAGTTGAAAAACTTCTTTTTTTGTCTTTGGAAAAAATGTTTCCAATGAAGAAGCTTGATTAGCACTAGTGCTTAACAAATAGCCAGTGTTTGTGTGATAAATGTTGCTAAGTTGGTTCTTCTAGGTTTTAGTAAAGAAACCAACATTAAATGTATAGTTAAGATTCATAGTGGAAGTTGGGAGCTGTTTGTTATAAGTGGGATAGGAGAGAGCAGCATTACTCACTATCTTTCAAGGACACGCTAGAAGCCAGTAGCAGCATTGATTATCCCCAGTAGTCCCTCCTCTTAAAGGTAAATAATAGGGCTATCAATCAGTTAAAAAATTAATTATGATTAATC